GCAAACTTAGCGGATTAATATATAGTAGGATGACGCTCTATTCCATAATCCAGTGCTGATTTTGACCACTCGGGTTTCTTTTCCATTTCTCTAGATTTTTCTGTGGCTAAGCTAGCCAAATTTCACGTAAACGTAACTAAATGTACCGGATTCCCACACTGTATACGAGTATACGTTTTTTAACGAGCTGACATAATATATGCAGTCTTGCTCGCTGTGTGATGGGGCGTGTTAGGAGACATATTGGTTGGCGAAGCGCCAGCCCTTTCTCCTTTCGTTAAGCCGCAAGAACGCAAGAATGTATTATATTGTTCGTTAATCGTATCGTAATCGTAATTCATCAATTCCGCTTACCCGCTTCGACAGCTTGTGGAGGGCGGGGCTGCGACGCACCAAACAGCGTCGTACTGACCCGCCCATCATTCGCAGCCATCAGGACTATAAGTCTCATTCGATATCTCATGTCCACAAGCCACGACTTCATATTTATTCTCAGATCGTCACCACTTGTCGTAAAGACTGATGGCAAAAATTAAAAACTGAGTTTGACGCAACAAACTACGACGACGAAGACTACTCAATGGATTATGACATCGGAAGCAACGTTTCAAGAGAACAAAATGAAAACGATCCATTGGGCCATTTAGTGGGTTCAAATTTGGAAAGCATGAATATTCCAGCGGCATGTTCTACGGCTCACTTTCAGTGAAGCTGCGTTCATGCTTCTACGCGGCGTTCACCGACCAGCAGCGTCTACTAGCGTCGACCAGCGACCAGCAGCCAGCGTCAAGGAGTGGAGAGCATGGGGCGATGGGGGAGGGGGATCGCAGACAGCTGGTAGAGAATGGGCCGGGGTAGGGGGAGGTACCAACTGTCTGCTACTGCTATCGTTCCATATTCCCCTTATGGGACGCTGTTGGTCGCTGGTAGAAGCTGGCAGACACTGGCAGACCCCCTAGTTCGATACCTGTACTTCCCTAGCCCTCGAGACGCTGCTATTTGCTCACGGACGCTGGCAGACGCTGGCAAAAGCTGGAAACGCTAGATAGATATCCATACTTTACTAGTCGCTGACGGTGCCGGACGCTCGAAACGCTGGTGGCCGCTGTTGGTCGGTGGTGGACGTACTGTTATGACGTAATGTACTGTTATGAGCTGTGAAGTGCGTCGGCGCGCTACAATTACAACAGCCCTTCTGAAGCTATAGCGGCCGCAGATGGCAAGTGGCGATCCATATCGCTCTGCGTGACTAGGCAGCATATATTAGGCTGCGTTTATACTTTGCGTCGTCCTTAGAGGCCTCTGCGGCAGCGTAGCGTAGCGCTTCCAGCGCTTTATCGTGCCCTTGCCTTGAGGACTCCAAGGCTATGGCGAGCGCTATGCAATACAGAGAGAGAGGTTGATGTAGACACAGTCACACGCACGCACACGCTTGTTAGCAGATTATATGCAGTAGGGTAGCAATCAACTCTCGAAAAGCAACCAGCTCTCGTTATATTATAGGTGATGGGTGGTAAAGCCGTTTCCGCAGGCGAACTACCGTGGACTGTCCTTATCCATTTATACAACGGCTCCATGGACGATGGCAACATCT